GTGAGGTGTTCACAGTAGCCGCCGGTCACTGCCCAGCTTCCGTCATTGTGGGTGCCTTTCATTTTGTTCCTATGTCCTTTGGGCAAGACCTCTCCTTTTTTGCTCACTTTCTGATACCTCAGAATATTCCAAGCTCTTTTTTATTTTCCCTGCCATAACTGTGGACTCAGCCATTTCTCTAAGGAGTGTGGGTCATTTGGTTAGAGATGGTGTTTGGAAATTAGGATCTGGGGCTGGGTGGGGTGTCTCACGCCTGCAATCCCAGCACTCTGGGAGGCTGGAGTAAGAGGACCCCTTGAGCTCAGGAGTTCAAAAGCAGCCTGAGCAAAAGCTAGACTCTGTCTTACTAAAAATAAATAGAAAAATTAACTGGGCATTGTGGTGGGCGCCTGGGGTCCCTGCCACTGGGGAGGTTGAGGCAGGAGGATCGCAGGAGTTCGAGACTGCAAGTGAGCTGGGGCTAATGCCTCAGTAGTCTACCCTCGTGACAGAGTAAGACTGTCTAAAAAAAAAAAAAAAGGAGAGACCAATTCTGGGTGTGGTGTTTTATGACTAAGGTCTGTCCTCAGGGGGTTCTTTCTTTACTCCCTGTGTGCCCTGCAGGCTTGATTTGTGATGGGGGTTGTTGTGTCATGTGACACGTGAACCTCCACCTATTACATCTTTATTGTGAGTTGTGTCTTTGGCATGAAGAAGTGTTCGTGTCTCATAGCGGATTAGTGGCCCAGGCTGTGGCCGCCAGCCCGCAAGGCCCTGTGAACCCCCCCCCCCACCTTTCCAAATCTCTCTGACTTAGGTGCACCACTGTTTAGCATGTGGTTGTGTCTTGTTGTATGAGCCAAATTGAAAATCTTTTCCTCTTTTTTTTCCCTTTGAGACAGAGTCACACTTTCTTACCTCCAGTAGAGTGCTATGGCTCACAACTACGCTTGGGTTTAAATGATCCTCTTGCCTCAGCTTCCCAAGTAGCTGGGACTACAAGTGCCCACCACCACACCCATCTAGTTTTCAAGGTAGGGGTCTCACTCTTGCTCACGCTGGTCTTGAACTCCTGAGCTCAGGCATTCCACCTGCCTGGGCCTTCCAGAATGCTGGGGTTACAGGTGTGAGCCACCAAGCCTAGCAGTCTTTTCCTTTTGATTATGTGAGTTAAGCTTACAGGTGTGAGCACCGAGCCTGGCAGTCTTTTCCTTTTGATTATGTGAGTTAAGCCCGTTCATCTTTATTGAGATGACTGACATGTGTTATATCTACTCTGTCACAAAACTTTATTATGTGCATTTTTATATTTGCTATGTTTCTTTATAAGCAGTATGCTTTCTGCTGTTTAATTACATTTATTTTTAGTGCTTAGGAAAGTTTGTGTTTGTTACTCTAAGTTAAGTCTTCTTTTCACCTGGCAGCCTGACCATCCTCTCTGAGAACTAAGGGTTGTCTGAGGAATGTCTCAGAGCTTGTTGGTTGGGTTGATTGTCCCAGGCTCCCACTGGCCCCTTTCCCGGGTGTAATTTTGGTCTTCTGTATTTGGAAAGTTTTCCTTGGGTTGTACTTCACCTCTTCCTTTTGTGCCCTTTTCTTCTCAGGGACCCTGGGCTGTGGACGCGACTCCTCCTTTGCTTTTGCGGCTGTTTTCCGGACCCTTTTCACTTTGCTCACTGTCTTTTTTTGGTCCGTTTCCTGCCTCCCTGCTTGGCTTTTCGTTATAATCTCATTCATGGCCATCCTTCCTTGAGCCCCTGGTGATCGATCCATTTCTGAGATAATTTGGGTTTTTCCTTCCACTTCTTTTTTTTTCTCTTGCCTTTTTCTTTCTTTCTTTCTTTTTTTTTT